TGACTTGTGGGTGCACCTACACCAACTGCTAAGGTGACAAAACCATGTGAAAAAAAGCGGAGGATGAAGGAGTGTCCTCACTTTGTTACCATTCCACCTTTTAATGCTGGCGTTTGAGGTTCTCGTCGGCAGCCACCAACCTTGTTATGATAGTCTTGAATGTCTTGTTTCTTTCGTTGGGCAGTGGCCCTTCCCCACAATTGAAAAAGCGGTGGTCGTCTCATGGTCCCATAATCATGCTAAAGCTTCGGCCTCCCTTTGAGCTGCGTCTTCTGAGGCTCGGGTTGAACTCAAAACCAATGGAGACCTTTGAGTCAGTGAGCAGGGCATGCTCCCCTTTTTCTCTCTGGGAGGTGCTGTACTTGGGCGGCGCTTCTGGCACCACCGTGTCCCACGTCTCGGACATGGTGGGGCCTGAAGGGGCGCCTCGGACTCATTTTCACGGGGTTGGCCCAGGGCCAGGGCTACATGGCCATGGGTCAAAAGCCCGGTTAGCCCCAGTGAACATCCCAATCCCCACTAAAATAGGTTCTAAGATGGATGGTGAATTCACCTACCAAAATGGGATCCCATTGGTTTCGACCCACAGCCACATCTTCAGAGAGAATGCAAGCTCTGGAACTCTGGCAATTCTTCTTTCCCCTTGGGAAGGCCCCCCCTTGCTTGGACAGCCGGGGAACTTGCATGCGTTTGGCCGAGTTTTTGGAAAGGCCAAGATTGCAAATATTTGGCTGGCTCCTTTTCTTTTGAGACTAGTCCATGGTCAATTTGGGAGGGACATGGGGGATTCGCTAAATCTCCACCAGAATGGGGGGGGGGTCGCTCATTTTTCATTGTCTGTTGCGAGAGCCGCATATTTTCACGAACTTGCGAGTTGCAACTCTCTTGTGCCAAGCCCAACTTAGACCACAGGTGGTCTATGCTGTGGAGTTCTCTCACCGCTCGGGCCGGGACTTGACAAACATGGCGAAGCGCCGGCCCAACGTGGTGCCCATCGTGGAGGATGCGCGCCAGCCACAGCGCTACCGCGGCCCAGCTGGTTCTGTGTGTGTGTGTGTGTGTCTCTGTGTGTGTGCGGGGAAAGGTGAGCCTTTTTCGAGGCTGACAAGCATCTATTCCAGTTTTGTTGGGGGTGCAGCCCATTCAAGAGGGAATCCGGAGATCGCGCGAGGCTAAGTCCGAACCTCGCTTTGGTCCTCGCTTTGACTCCTGAGGCATGCTGATCGGAATGGTGGATGTGATCTTCGCAGACGTGGCCCAGCCAGATCAGGCGCGTATTGTCACGTATAACGCTGGCCCCTTGGTAGCAGGTCATCTCATCCCTCCGCAGATTCACATGGAACCAACACAGGGTCTAAACACGCGTTTTTTTTCCTCGAAGACTGTTCTTTCCTTGGGAGATTCCCTCGTAGTCACCCCGAGTAAAGGATGATTCCTTTCGAAGGGGTTTGACCGGCCCCAACTGGCAAAAAGGATGCTGTGTGGTTCTCAAAAATAGTATGTGGGAGGGTCACAATTCTCAGCTGGTTACCTCCTAAGCTGTGGGCGGGTTGGATTCTTGGGTCATGGGGGAAATTGTGGACCCTTTTGGTTGGCGTTAAAAGGGAAGCCAAAAGGAAGCCACAAGTATTCGTTGTCTCATGTTGTTTTTCAAACCGAATAAAGGAAGCCATATATTCTTGTTGTCTTTTTTTGTTGTTGGGGGGGGGTTAAACAAACAACAAAAAGGACACCCTAGCACCTTTTTTTTTTTTTTTGGGTTTCTCCTTGAAGTCGAGGCTTCTTCCTGAAGAACAACGGCTGGGTCATGATCTCCATCAAGGCCAACTGCGTGGACTCCACCGCGGCCCCGGAGGCCGTCTTCGCCTCGGAGATCGACAAGCTCCGGAAGGACGGGGTGAAGCCCAAGGAGCAGCCACTCGGATCGGATCGGGACTGGAGCCAAGCCCATGTGGCTCATGTGGCTGTGGTCAAAAATGGGGTAACCCCAAAATGGCTTGCCCGGGTTTTTTGGGACCAAAGACTAAAACCCAGCTCTTCAATGGCGGGGATTGGGATGTTCACTGGGGGCCAACCGGGGTTTTGACCCATGGCCATTTTTGGACAGAAAAGTCGGGGGCGAGGAAACTCGAGGTAGGCGAAGGTCGGTTATGTATTGCTCTGTGTGATTGTTTGTTGGCGCTGGCTTTCGCGAGGGGGGGGGGGGGGGGTCGGGAGCATTCATGCTGGTTGGCTATTTCCCCTTTCGTCGGGCCTTCTTTTTGGGCTTCAAAGGGTCCAAAGAAGGAATTGGAGGACGTCATCCTCAAATTGCATGTTTTTGTTTTCTCAGTTTTCAATGGTTCCCTTTGGTTTTCCAGGCTTTTTTGGTGGAGCCTCGTTTTGGGCGACTTTCGGTCCCTTTTTGAGGCTTACCTTGGAACCCTACCACCGTGACCACGCCCTGGTGATTGGCATCTACAGGCGCCCCGTGGGCTTTGCAATGTCATGAGAAAGGGGATGAACATGGACTCTCAGAATTTGGGACCACTCACGAGTATTAATCTGATGACATTATGATGGTTGCCTCGAAACAAGCAGCAGAACGATTCCTACTTGTGACATGTGCAGTGCAAAGGCAGGCTGCTCCATGCAAGGGTTTGACACGTTTTAGCAATCATGGAAGGAGACGTTGCACTCACCCTTTGCCAAGGTTTCAGAAGACATTTTGTTGGGTTGTTCACGGCCGCAACAAAAATCAGCCAGCAGACGGTACGGCCATTTCCCCCAAATAGAACTTGGGCACCTTAAAATGAACATTTTGAAGGTTTCTCAAAATTGCGTTCAGGGTTAACCCACCATTTGAGAGGGTTTGATGGACCCACAGATCCTGGCAGGGCCAGCAAGAAGAAGAAGGAGTGAAGAGACCGGCCGTCTGAGTAGCCCACGGTCTCACAGCCATCCGCTTTGTGGCTGCAGATGTCGTCGACGGAACTTGGTTTGCGCCAGCTTTGAAGAGGAAAAATGCCCTGGCGCCGTCACGACGCCTACGAACTGGTGCTTGGCGTGTTTTTTGGCACACCGACCCACGGCGACAAGGCCCAAAGCCCTGAACGCTGCGAGAGGTACTCGCCTGCCGCACCTTCGATGCCGTCGGCTCCTTCAATTGGTTCCATGCCTTCGGCACCGTCGATGCCTTCGCCCACCATGCCGGTTCAGCCCATGAGCATGCAGGCTCGGGTCGTAGAAGCACCTTTGAGCCGGCGGGGCCACCGCAAAAGGCGCACATCCAGGCGCAGATTCAGTTCCAGGCTGGTGGATTGCACCGCTTTGGCTGCCAGTTTTCCAATTTCCCCACCCGGCTGGCAGGGCATGCTGCACTCCTTGCAAGTTTGTGGTGACATTGGGTGACCGTGCCTTGCAGCGCCACCATGTTCAAGGTGCCATGCAAGACCACCTCTGTGACCAAAGAGAACCAGAGAGAATCTACACAGCTTCAGAAAGGCCAATGCACGTGACGGAAAACGCATATTGCACAGCCACGAGTCGTCAGAGCATCACACATCTCGCCTTTGAAGCCTTGCCTTGCTTCCGCTTTTGTCAGTGCCTCGTCGGGGCTGACGTTTGGCGATGGGCCATGGCAGACGAGTCGGTGGGAACCATGGAAGGCGAGGAAAGTCTCCCCAGGGATGCGGATGCGGATGTGGACGGGGAAGTGGCGTCTACGCAGCCCGACAGCGTCACCATGAGACTTGTCATCAATTTCCCTTGGCTGTGAAAAGCTGTCCCTTGCCCCCTGTCCGATTTTCGTTTCGATCGGTCCACTCCTCTCCCGCCCTCGAGGAGCCCCACGGAGGAGGCCGAGTCGATTGGTGCCCGGCGTTCCGAGCTGGAGGCGGGGTGACGTTGGCGCATTCCATCCCGGACCCTCTAACCCCGGATGAATAAACTGGTTGATTTTTATTGGGGGCCCCGAGGACGGGTTTAGTAGTCCTGGGTGAACATTAGTTGAAGCTACGAGAAGGCCCCGAACTCCAAGCCGCAAACCGCCAGGTGATGGATGTGAACCTCAGCGGCCGGGCCCAAAGGCGCCTGGCGCGCCATGCGCGGCGGGCGCGGATCCCGCTGGTTGCGCGTGCCCTGGTGGTGGACGAGTTTGTGGACGTCGATGAGGCGGGGACGAGCGTGCGACATTGAGAGGATGAGAAAATCGGGTTTTCTTCTTTTGGCATTTCTTTGTGGCGCTGATGGGGGGGCACTTTGTTTTGAACCTTTGCATCCTTTCATCTCACTGATCCAACAAGCGAATCAAGGATGAGCGAGGATGAGAGTGAGATGAAAGGAACCGCCCACCAGCAATCTCAGAGATGAATAACACCCAAAAGGGAAGGCTATTCTTGGAGAATGGGATAGCCAGTGGATCCAAGGGAAAAGAGATGGTGAAGAGAGGAATATCACATCTCACCATTTCTTGACAAAGAGAGATAGATAAGGAATGAAAGATCTCTTTCTATCTCTTCTTCTTGGAACTTTGTCATAGACAGCTATACGAGGAGAAATCCCAAGGAACAGTTCTATTTTTAATATTGTATCATATAAATATATATTTCAATATTTGGATCATCGGATTTCTATTTTGGCTTGTTTGGATGGTCAACTATTTGTAACCCATAAAATCCAGCATGCTTAGCAAGCCGCGCTTGCTTAGCAAGCCGCGCTCCATTTAAGGCCAATTCAACCAAAGACCCAAGGTCACCAACGAGGTGCACGACGCCGAGCCCGAAGGCTCCCTGATGGACGTCTCCAGTGATGAGGGGGACGTGGTGGCCACGGGTGGGCGGCTTGGGCGGCGCAACCTGGGGGGCGCGGCCTTGAGCGTGAACTTTGGGCGCCTGGTCCGGCTGCCGAAGCGGAAGGCCGCTCCGAAGCGGCGGCCAACCTCGGCCCCGGCCCGGTCTTCGGCCCGAGCGGGAGCGGATGCGACGGCTCCGGGGTTGCCGATGATGGAGGAGGAGCGGGTGGGGGACAATGGCTGGGGGGCGGCCGGCTTTGAGGCGCAGCCTTCCTCGTCTTCCTCGGCACCCGTGGAGAGCAGGTTCAACCTGCCAGAGGTGCCGCTGACACCCGACCGGGATAGTGGAGATGATCATGGCAACGACACCTTGCCAGAGTCTTGGTTCCAAGTCCCTGAAGATGATGTAGTGGCTCCCCCTTCACTAGGTGAGTCCGCGGCATCCAATGGCTTTTCCTGCATCTATGTGGAGCCAGTGCGGCCGGGGCTGGAGCCTAGAACCTGTGGCCAGTGCCATTCCTTCTTCAACATGGGGGACCTGCGGCTTGGGTACACCCCCTGCGGGGTGGCGGCAGACGGCCGCCAGTTTCTGCCAGTCTGGGTCCACGCCTTCGTGTGCGCGCGCCGCGCCAAGCTGGCCATCCGCTTCGACGGAGAGTCCATCAGCTTCAGCCCTGCGGTGTCGCAGGCTGACCAAAATCGCCTGGTGGAGGAACTGCGGCAGCTGCACCAGTCGCTGACCAGGCCAGCTGTGACCACTGGCCGAAACCCATGTAAGCCTGAAATCTTGACTAGGCATGATATGCAAGGGATTGCTGCACGAATGTAGCTGGAAGGCTTTATGCTGTTCCTCAACCTTCCCCGCAGGCAGCGGTCCCAGCCCCGCCAGCTGTGCATCCGCCCCTGGCGCTACTTCCCCTCGTTGCTGCAGCGCTGGCCCGTCACGCAGCTCCGGGAGGACATGCCGCGCCGGCCGAGCGAGCCCCACGACCGGCCCAGCTGGCGCCTGCCGTCTCCGGGTGCTTCCAGGGAGCGCCGCGTGGACGGAGTCAGTTGATGCTTTGACAATTTGTTCGTCTCTCTAGGTCGTACACCAACAACGCCACACTAATGAACCAACCCCATCCAGTCATCCGGTCCTTCACACCCACAAACTAATGCCAATCAATCCTGTGGTTTCAGCCAGTTTCGGAGTTATAATCTATTCTCGATTCGGGCTCTCTTAGCTGGTTGATCCCCGCAGAGCAGCAATCTTGAATCTAGGGTTCTTGCTTTCGCCGTTCTGGGCTTTTCCTTGGTGTCGAACCTTCGCTCGGCTGAGCAGACGGCTCCCAGGTGAAGTGTGGCAGGGCGAGGACGTGCCGGAGGAGAGCCTGGGCGCGCGACACGTGCAGGAGGTGCTGGCCCAACTGGTCTCGGAGAGCCGGACTTGGCCAGAGAGGCCGCTGGTGCCCCCCATGGTGCCCAACTTCATGGCCGCCCAGGCAGACGGCAGACGACTCGGGCGAGCAAACGTGAGCCAAGCAGTTTGGGGACAAAAAGGAAAAATAAGGCGATGAGCAAAAGCCACACCCAACCAGCTTTTTTGCAAGTGGTTTGTTCGCTTCAGCGCGGAAGGTCGCCTTTCTCAACTTTGAAGGCAATTTGGGGTGCGTTGAAGCCTGTTGGTTTGTTGGATCTTTATCTTTTCTCTGCATTCAGTCTTTGGCTCTGATGCGTTTTGGGGGTACCTCTCTCTCAGTTGTTCGCGTTTGCTGCTGTCCGTAGTCTGTTACCTTGCATAAGGCAAGGTCAGCTCTTCCTTGATGGACATGTGTGGAGTTTTGCAGGCTTCACACTGTCCGGCCTAAGCGAAACCATACCTAAAGCAGTGCCTTTGGGGTCACGTGGTTCGCTCGCCTGAGGTGGTCGAGCCCCCGCCCCTCGCCGAACCCGCGCACAACAGCTCAGCGCTACTGACGGAGGTCCCGACCTTCCAGGCAGAGGCCAAGAGTCAGGAGCCCTGCGTGGTGTGCCGGGACGACATCCACGTGGGCCAGGCTGCAAGCCTGGGGAAGGGGCCAGGCGATTTGTAGTCAAGCGGGGTCACCTGAAAGTGTGGTGGAAAACGCGCACCATATACATGTGTACTTGTGGAGGCTGATGTTCTGGTCATTTTGCGTGCGTAGCGCGCAAACCTGTTTTCCAACAAACAAGCCTGGCAATTTCTGCGGTCAACGTTGTTAGACAAAATGCACACAGCAATCAAATAGCATGGGGTACCAGGCCCATCTCGAAGACTTTTCTGTCTTAAGTGTAAACAGAGCAGAGAGAACTGCAGGTTTCTTGTTTTCTGGGCTCTTTGAACGGCAGGTGTGTCGGCGTCTGCCGTGCCTGCACCTTTTCCACAAGGAGTGCATCGACCAATGGATTGCAGTGAAAGCCACCTGCCCTTTGGACAACCTGAAGCTGGAGGTGATGCTGAGGCGGCAGCACTCCCTGGAGATCGGCGAGGAGCCAGCGGCAACGTCCGCGAGGTCGAGATCCCGGTCCCCTCGCTCCCCTCGGTCTCCACGGTACCGCTCCCCTCGGCCGCCGCCGCAGGCGTTCCAGGACCATCCCTGGGACGCGCGGTCTGCGCGCTTCCGGCGGAGCCGCTGGGACCACCTCAGCCAGAACGACTTCGGCGGCGAGATTGCTCACATGGGCACTAGCCAGGTTGGCAGCTCATTCCGGCACCGGCCAAGCCAGTGGAACGTGCGGCCAGGCAGCGCGCCGGTGCCGGAGTGGTACAACTGGGCGCCCATGCCCCCGTCCATGATGCAAAACCATGGCACGGGGCCTACCAATGCAATGGCACCAGCCCCTCCGCCACCACCACGCCACCCACCGCCACCAGTCCCTCCGCCTCCAATCATGCCGGTCGTGAGGCCTTTGCTTCACAACATGCCCATGCCGTCCATGCCAGCCATGGCGCGAATGCCAACACCCGTCTCCACATCCATGCCGACAGGTGTGCCCGGCATGCCTGCCGGAATGCCTCAAACACCAGGAATGCCAAGCATGCCCGGCATGACGTCAAACACACCATCTCCAGCCAGACCAACCATGTCAACATACCCGACATTTGAATTGCCTTGAGCCATAAGTGCAGGATAGGATTACAGGACAGTTCCAGATGCGCGGTGAAGAATCTTTGTGCTTTTGTGTTCCCCGCGGGCACAGCCAGGCCGCTGGCACCCATAGACTTGATTCAGCCAAATCCATCGATGTAGTTTCACGTCCGGAGCCACACGGAGCTAGCCAACTCAGTTGGACCATGGAAAATGGGGCAGGCCGCTCCACACTCCGCACCGGGCGGCCCAGTGGCCTCCGGCCGGCCAAGCGGGGCAAGGGATGCTTTTGGTTGCCTCTGGGCACACGAGAGGCAGCCTGTGGTGTAGTTGGGAAAGGTGCCGGGGAGGACTTCCCGTCTCGGTGTGTCCTTTACGAGGGTTCTCTTGTTGGATGGTTTTCAAGGAACGCCAAGCGGAATCCACCCATGTCACAGTTTTCCCCATGACCCGGCTTCGCCCGCATCCTCTGCGCCAGGCCCAGATGCAAGCGCAAGCCCACCAGGCTGGCTGTCGACTTCTCCGTTTGGGCGGCCAGCCTTTCTTGCCTCTTTTCCGCGCGGCCCTTGGCGCGCAGTCCGGAAGCCCACTCCACCCTGCCAGAAAGCCTCCTTTGTCTAGGAGAGCAAGCCGCCGGGAGCCCGGCTCCAGCACCCCGCGCGGTTTTGGAAGGCGCAAAGCTGATTGGAAGCTCAGGGAAAGCAGCCATGGACCTGGAGCAGCCTGATTCGGGAGAACCAGTGGCAGACCTTGTATTTGGTGAGACCCGACCGCGCATGCGCTGCCCGGTGAGCGCGGCCCATGAGCCCTCGTCCCGAGCTCAAGTCCGGAGTCGGGGTGAGGTTTCAATGTTTCAATGCGCCACTTTGTTTGCCATTCTTGTTTGCGGGGGGAGGGGGGGGACTTTGGAGACATTTTTTACTCCCGCTCGGGCTTGACCACCGCTGGGCATTAGGTTTTGTTTGGCTTAGTTTCGGGTTCAACTGGCTAAACTTGGGGGTGGTGTTGGGCTGGCCTGTGTTCAGGTTTTGGGGCTTGTTTCAGCCGTGCTTACTGTTGCTGAAAGGGGGGAGGGGTGTTATTTGTATTTTTGCTGGTTTGCACCTGCCTGGTTTTGTTGCGTCACATCCAGCCACTTCTTGTAGCGAGCCACTCCTAGCAGAAAACAACGTCGTGTATGGGAACTTTGATAATGCTAGTTTTTTTTGGCAAGAGTGAAGCTCCACCTTACCTTGCCTTTTATCTCCTTGTCCAGCCTTCGCTTTGAGCCCCGAGCTCAGCGCTGCTCATTTTTCCCCAGGCCTTTTGCACTTGCCTGGCCGGGGGCTCGGGTTCAGGGTAAAAGCGGCACATCGCCGCTGGTTTTGGTTTTTCGGTTCGCGAAACGGATGTTTTGCGGCCCACGCGTTTTGGAAGACTTCGAATCCCACCCCTCCAGCTTCTCCTGGGTGGGACTGCTTGGAATGTTTGCCTTTGTAACCTGCTTTGCCTCTCAGACTCGTTGGGTGACCAGCTGCCGTTGGCCCGAGTTCCAGACAAACACTTCTTTGGGAAATGGCCGGCCTTTGCAGCGAGTCGGGCTCGAAGGGCCCCAAGCTCAAGTACCACAACAGCTTCATCAACGTGGAGGAGGACTTGGAGGATGAGCAGTGCGGGCAGCGTGCCTCCAGTTGTCCCCCACCAGGCCGTTGTGGTGCCATGGTCTTGGCTGAGCAGGAGGAGGCAAACTGCCGCAACTATGTGGATGGGCTGTCCAAGAAGCTGGGCTTTGAGAGCAATGTGAACGACCCCAACGCTCCCAGCATCAAGAAGAATGGCTGTGAGGAAAGCCCAGGCGCAGCAAGCACCACGGCGAGCCTTGATGACGTCATGCCGGAGGCTGCCAGCCTGCCCAGTACCACGAGCAACATCTTTGTCGCTACGCCACAGGCATTCGGCACTGATGTCGACTTCCAGAAGCCGTCAGCTCAAGATCTTCAAGAAAATGGACTGCCGAGCCGCGGGAGTCTTGGGCATCCGGAGCTGTGCAAGCGTCCTTGCATCTATTTCTCGGCAGGGCGTTGTGTGCATGACACCAAGTGCAGCTACTGCCACATGCCTCACCATGAGAAACCGCCCAAGCTCGACAAGAGGCGGGCGGCGTGTGTTTTATGTACCGGGGGTACCACGTTTCCCGTCAGCATCCATGCGCAGAGCCACACAAGGCATGTCAACTTAGGGCACCTGTGCCTCCTGTGCCTACCGGCTTGACATGCTGCCAGGCAGCGTGGCGCTCTGCAAGCGCTGAGCCATCCCGAGCTGCTGGGCCTCGTCTCGCAGTTCTGCCGCCCCAAAGCCCGAGCCCTGGGCCCGGCCGCGTGCCAGATCCTGGGGCTCTTGGAGGAGGCCAAGGGCACCCGGCTGCCGGAGTGGGTTGGCGAGCGGGAAGCGCGCGCCTCGGCAAAAGGATCCGGGCCAAGTGAGATTTTGCCGCAATCCTTGGATCATGCCCCTGGCACGATTGCAGCAAGATGATCCAACCTTACATGGGCATCATACCATGATCAAATCATCACATCACAGCATAGACATGGGCATCTCATCATCCTTCGATTGGATCCATCCTTGTCTATGATGTGATGGATGATTTGATGCCTGTGCCGGTCCTCAGGCAACTTGTCGAAGATTTTGCAGCGGATGAACTTCTCCACCCTCGTGGGCCTGGTCATCCACCATGCCTCCCCGGAAGCTTGGCTGAGTAAGCCCAGGAATTGCGAGCCCAGCCCTTGACACAAAGGAGAGTACCCCTTTTGAGGTGGTTCTCATTTTGGGGTCCCTATTGAATAAGACGCGGCAACAGGGGAAGTTGGCCGCAGCAGGGGCTGCCTGGTACTGTGTGTTGCATGCAGCCATGTGACACGTCCCAGCTGCCTTAAAGCCCCAAGCCCAGTTTGTGTCAGTGTCGCGTCCGATCCGCTCCGAATTAGGAGAAGTCTGAACTCCTTTCTTCAGCCCTCGAGCGACTCCGCAATGTCCGGACTTCCTTGGAAAGCCAAGCGAAGAGCTGAGCAGATCTATACTCAGTATGTCGTTTGCCACTTCCTTGATTGCACAGAGTGTTTTTCGGCAAACGTTTCTCATCGGGTATTTGACTGAGGTCAACGAACAGGCATCTTGAACTGTGGGCACCCCAAAGCCTAGTCAAAGAAGCTATACAACATTTCCTAGTTCCATGTTTCGCTTCTGAGGCGTGCCCATCACTGTTCCATGCACATGTCCTGCCTTTTTTGGAGAGTTCTCCGGCAGGGTTCCTTGAAAAGCCTGCAAGGTCTCAGCATTGTGGCTTTTGCCCCTTTCAGGAACCCTGCCAAGGAACTCACCATCCCCCGGTAAAACCGTTCGGGCCGTGGCTGAGACAACCGTTCCGCCATGGTCCGTGGGCGCAAGATGAGCAAGCCGGTCGCAGGGCCCAAATGGCCAGCGCGACAGCGAGTCATCATGCCCACAAGTGGGGTGGCAGATGCGCACTGGAAGCAAGTGACCGTCCCTTTCCGTTCTGGCGAGTTGATGTTCGGTGTGTGCGGAATCAGCTGCAACGAACATTTCAACATTGGGGACAGGCCCATGTTGCAGATGTGCAGGGCCTGTCCATATTCCACGCCAGTCCTTTCCTACTGAGATTAAACTTCGGCTCAATGCTGCTTTTTGGCATTAGGCCAGAACAACACAACAACTCTCTAGAGTGTGAATTTTTTGCCAAGCGGGCAGCAACAGAAAAGATGCGTTAGTCCATTCAGTCATGGGGATCTGACAGTCTGAGTTGCATACTGCTGATTGTTCTTAAAGGAAGTGTGCATGCACATGTACTTGTACACACGCACGACCATTGCCGGAATGCACATTGACTCTCCCAGCAAAATCAAGTGGGGACAGACCCCTTCCACCGGTGGAGCCACATACCCCAAGGGATTTGACATTTGCCAAACGTTAGAAACGACAAGAGACGTTACCAGAATCGAAGGGAAGTGGTGGACAGATTCCCATAGGGCCTCTGAAAGTCCGTAGCCAGGGGGCAGGTTAGGCGATCTTCTGGAGCTTTGTGCGCGCCCGACCAGTTGCCATTTGGAGCCTTGCTTCACGTTCATTTCAGTGAATCATGGCTATTTGCCGGGCCGATGATAAGCTGCAGCTCAAGTACCACAACAGCTTCATCGAGGTTGAGGACTCCGATGATGGACAGGATCCCAATGCTCGCTCCTCCAGCTGTCCGCCGCTCGCAGCCCGTTGCAGCACCGTGGTCGAGGCAGAGTATCAGGAAGCCGGCTGCCGCAGCTACGTGGATTCACTTTGCAAGAATCTCGTTCGCCCGAACAGCCACCTCTTCAACCACGCAAATCAGGTGAAAGGCAGCCCTCTTGGCATCAGCCCATGCAGCACAATCAGCACTGCATCGAGCAACGCATTCAGCGACAAGGAATTCAGAGGCTCGAAGGAAAGCTCCAAGATGCAGCTCAAGTATCACAACAGCTTCATCAACGTGGAGGACTCAGATGAGGAACCAGGGCAAGAGAAGCGTGAGCGCCCCTCAAGTTGTCCACCGCCAACGGCCCGCTGCAGCACTATCGTCAAGGCAGAGTATGAGGAAGCAGACCGCCGCAGCTATGTGGAAGAGCTGGCCAATAAGTTGGTCGTTGGCTCCGAAGATGAGGGCATGCCTGCCAAGATCGACATGGTGAGCTACAAGGCCATGGAAGGCTGGTTCTCAGACAGCCCGGCTTCAGCTAGTACGACCGATGCCTTTGACGACACACCAATGACAGTTCTGTCAGTTATGACTCCCACCAGTCCCACCACGCCACAGACAGTAGCTTCGGTGATGACGGATGAGCTGTTCGATAGGCTGCCAGTCCAAGATGTGCGACGCTTGGGGCTGCCGAGTTGCGGAAGTCTTGGGCATCCTGAGCTGTGCCGGCGCCCCTGCATCTACGTGGCCACGGGAGAATGCCTCAATGGCGACGCGTGCAGCTACTGCCACATGCCTCACATGGAGAAGGTTCCCAAGCTGGACAAGAGGCGACGGGGTGCGGGGGTTTCAAAACTTGAGAGGGGAAGAGAGGAAAACGCACCTGAAACCCATGGGCCCAGGCAGCGGGGCATCGTGCAATCTTTGAGCCGCTCGGAGTTGCTGGCGCTCGTGTTGAAGTTCTGCCGCCCCAAAGCCCGTCGCTTTGGCCCGGCACGCGAAATCCTCAGCCTGTTGAAGGAGGAGGCGGGAAACGCCAAGCTGCCCTCATGGGTTTGCGAGCGCGACGTGCGCTTCTCGGCAAGGAGTTTGACCGGCGATCGCCATGCCAAAATGCGATCTTCCTTTCAAACATCCCCCGTTCTCAGAGGTGTAGGCTCTGTCTTGGCGCGCCTGTCCGTCCGAGGAGGTCTTCACTGCACATTGCAGCGAATGAACTTCTCCAACCTCATCGGGCTTGCCACACATCATGCGCCCTCCCGTGCGAAGCACTCGCCGGAGACTTGGCCAAATACCGGGGAACCTTTTCGGTAGGCCCACTCGTCCAGCGCAAGGGATGCACGTGCCAGCTGACCGTGGCGGGCCTGGCATCGGGATCAGCCTCGTCTCACTGGCGCTGAGTTTTGTTGGCGTATATGTTCTTACGCGCATGCACGCAGTCATGCACGCACTGGCGGGAGTCCCTGTGGGAAACAGTTGGGATAGTTAGACAATCAGAGGAACACATTCTTAGGAAATGAGACCGTTTTAAGATGTTTTGTATACTTTCCAGAATCCTGGAGAACATGTTTTCCAAATTATTGTAGTTATTCTATTTTTCTCTTTCTGCCAATCATTCTAATTAATAGCAGAGTTAGGACACATTTTTTTTGTGTGTGTGTGTGTGTTCTTCTTTGGGGGGCCTTGTAAAAAAACACCTTAGAATGTGTTTACTTCTTGCCGAATTTTGTTTTAGAATCTTGTAAAACAACGGTGTCTTCCGCAAAAAAAGTTAGTCAAATTCTGCCACTTGTTCTCAGATAAGTAGAAGAATTAGCAGACTTAAGCAAAATGGTCTGCTGGATTTTCTAATCATGCTACTTTTTGTTTCCGCAAAAAAAACATTCTAAATATTTTCCTGGAATGTATTATTATTCTCAATATTTGGGGAAATCACAAAAGTGCAAACAACCCCAAACAATTAGAATACTTAGAAAGTCCAGGAACACATTTAAACATGCTTCAACCATTTTAAACAGTTTTCCCTCCTTCCCTAATGATTCGAATTATTTGGGTCTGCTTTCCAGAATCCTGGAAAACATGTTTTCCATTTTTCACGAAAGCTAGCTTTAGCTAGCTGAAGTTTCTCCTTGCGTAGGTAAGGGGCTCAAATGCCGAAAGATTGATTTTTTCAATTATTTGAGCCGAAAAGATTGAAAAACATCAATTATTTAGACCCCCCCCCCCCCTCCCCCCCCCCGGTCTCAGGCTCGATTCCTCCCTGGTCCATCCCCCCGGCAGTGGCTCAGTGTTCAGCAGTCTCGGTTTGCCCGTTTTGGACTTGGTGCTACGAACTTTTACATGTTCCACCGATTCAGCTTGTTCATTTGAGACCTCAGTCTTCTCAGTAAACCACCTCGCAAGAATCTTTGCACACGCAGCATGCAGAACCCAGAGGTGCTTTAAGACAGCTTCTGACGCCTCTCGTTGTTTTCATTTTTCAAGGTTTGCCACGCCACCATGTGCGTTTGCGTGTCGCATCCTACGAATCTTGCCGGGCCTCTCGTTGTACACAAGCTACCTATGAATCCACTCTGTCACCGACCCATCTCATGCAACAACTGCTAGCTTTCGTAGAATTAGGAATCTTCTTTTGGCTGAGGGTAGGGGTGGGTGGGGTGGGTGGGGGGGGGGGTGGGGGGTGGGGGAAAAATAGTAAAAGGGGAATTCTAGAAATTCTACTTTAGTATTTTTTCCATCAGCAACACAACAAACAGAAACAAAATCCAGAACAACAAGCAAACAAAATAAATAATCACAACCAGCAACAAAAATATTTAATCACAGCATACAACATTAAATAATTCAAACAAGCATACCAACAAAACAGCAACACTCTAAACCATCAAAGAACCCAAACTCAAACACACACATCAACAAAAGAACAAAGCAACATACCAACAAAAAATATCAGAAGAGTATCAAACAAAATAAAAACAAACAGCCAAAGCACGAAAAAACTGAAGACGCATACCAAGTTCAAACAACGCTCTTTGAAAGAGTCAAGCAAATTAGGAAAATTTAAATATTTCAATCTTTACAAACCATAAGTATAGTATAATTATAACATATAATATTTTACATGTTATAATTATATTTCAATTAAGAATTAAGGATTTAAGATAATGTTGACCCCGTATTAGTCTGTAACCTCCCCCCCCCCCCCCCTTGAAGGTTGGAAGGTTTTGGGGGGGCAAGATTTTGGAAGGTTTTTTGCCTTGACCCCCTAAATAATCTGGAATTGAGTTTCCATTTGATTTAGTATTGCTGGGGCTTCCTTTTGAGATCTGGAATTGAGTTTCCATTTGATTTAGTATTGCTGGGGCTTCCTTTTGAGATCTGGAATTGAGTTTCCATTTGATTTAGTATTGCTGGAGCTTCCTTTTGAGATCTGCAATTGAGTTTCCATTTGATTTAGTATTGCTGGAGCTTCCTTTTGAGATCTGGAATTGAGTTTCCATTTGATTTAGTATTGAGAAGGCCTGGTTGTCTTTTTTGGGGGGTGGGGCCGATGGACCGCACTAATTAGGGGGGGTTTATTAATTGGGCGTGTAAGGGGCTAATGTGGGGTACCTTTTGAAACCTTCTAAACTTGATTTTTTAGCAAAGGATTTAATAAGAAATCGACCATCTGAGAACACTTTTTGTTTTGTGGTTTGGGCAGGCCCAAAAGCATCCACCAAGCTTCAAGATGAGAGTAGGAGGTGGAGATGAGAGCCCTAAGCAAGGCAGCAGCAGGAAGAGAAAGGTACCAGAAGAAAGCACGAGCCCATCTGAGCCAAAGCACCTTGTCAGGACACCACCCAGAGAAAGCATGGCAAGCAGCATGAGTCCACAATCTTCAACAAGCAGTGGAGAAAATGAGATAGCAGCAGCCATCTGGGGGAGGGACCAGTCTAATTGGGGGGGGTTGTTTTGGATTCTTTTTTATTGAGGGGGGTTTTTCTGAGATATGAATTGTTTAGTATTGGGGGGGTCCGGGTGGACCGGATTAATAGGGGGGGATTACTAATACACTGTCAACATTAACAGTCAGGCAATATGTCTTCAAATAGATAATCTACATATTTATCAATATCACCAATGTCTATATATTTGATATTGTCTTTTCCTATTATTGAATAAATATATTCCCAGAAGAACAAATTAACTAACAGACATACTTTATATTTGGTGTTGCGGTAATACCATATAGTATATTTAGTTATTCTAAATTCATTCAAGACCTCGTTTATTTTATCTTTGCTTAATAAATGCCAATCAATCTCTTCAAACAAATCACGAAATTCTTTAGCAAATGATTTATATGGTTTAATGCTTAGTTCTCCTCCAAACCTTTTAATCAAATCTTTATTATTAAAAAACTCATCAATTTGTTTTTCAACTGACTTTCTTGTAATTTTATGGAAAAATATTCAGGAAATCGTTTTTTGATATGTCATAAAGAATTTCAATTGTAAGTGAAACTTTGTATATCCCTTATCCTTATATTCTTCAACAAACAACTTTTCAAGGTCTCTTGCTATACTGCATTGATTACAATATACATCATATTCACTTATTTTATTACACAGATTAGCAGGTAATAAGTTATACAATGTAAAGAATTTGTTTTATAATGGCCGTAAGCAAGTGAGTTTATACTATCTATCCAATATTTTTTCATAACTACTAAGAGCAAATTTTTTAGTTGTTATACTAAAAGTTATGTGGTTTTTACTTCTAATACTATTAAATGACTCATGTATAACCTCATTAGTTTTTAAAACCGTCTCAAACTCTTCATATTTCATTTGACGTCTTACTGTGCCTTTTGCTACGCCCTTACATTTCTTATATTCTTTTTCATCACCATAAACTGAGTACGCGTAGCATTTAGGACGAAGGGCTATAAACCCTGTTATTATTATACTTTTTAATTCATCCTTAAATTTACCTAATACTTTCTTGTTATTCTCATCATAACATTTATGTTCCTTAGGATAATCTGAAAAATCTATTTCTTTTTTAATTGTATTCAGGTCTTCATAAATGTCATTGGTTTTAGTATGAAATACAAAACTATCAGTATCAGTATATACCATTTTAATATTATCTCCATATTTAGGTTTCATAACGTCATAATAAAATTTAGACATGTGTTGCTTACTCAAATCTAAAATGCTCATCCCAATAAATATAGGTTTGTCTAGTTTCAACTTTGTTTTTTGCTTTTCAACTCCAACCAAATTTTCAATAATGATATGACTATGTTTGAAGTTAGGATTACTTACGCACTTCATATATCTAGTTTCATCACTCACAACTTCAAAGTCTAAATGTTTTCGCTTATCCTCCATTGTTTTTCCAAATATGGCATTGTTCACCAATTTATAAACATCTTTCTCAAAATCATTTCTAGCATTCTTCCTCTTCTCTGTGTTAAACTCAATGTACGGTTTTAAAACTTCTTTTTGTTCAAATTTAATTGCTCTATGAATTTTCTTAAGTTTTAACCCCTGCTTCAAATAAAATTGTAAGGTTCTTATATGGATTACATATTTTTCTTTATCATGTAAATTCAATACTAATTTATTTGTTTTCTCATCCGTAGGTTTTTTATGATTTAAAAATTCATAAATTTCAATTTGTTTATCTGACAGCATGTTGGCTTTAACATTCATAACCTCAGGTGCCATTGGATAGTCATTGTGTAAATCGTGTAATTCTCTAGGATATTCTAAATCCACTTCTAGAATATATCCAATATTATTATTCTTATAATTAATTATGTCTTCTTGTGTTAATGTATCATTCCATTTTAGATTTTTATATGGCAGTTTTTGTATCATGCTTAACCCGTACAAATTATTAGCGTCTAAATAGTTAATATAACTACTTTCTTTCTTTTTATCATAATCTTCTCCCATGTATTTATTATTTGCTTCAACCTTTTTAGTAGAAACCATACACATCCCTCCTCTAAGTCCCGCTTCTATCATTTCATACATTTCTTGGTCATATATTAAATCAATCTCTACACCAGTCATTTTAAGCATAGCATCAAAAGCAAAGTTAGGCAATGTATAATAATAAGCAGGGTCCAATCCATAATATTTCATACACACATCTCTAAAATTTTCGAAAATATCAGTCAATAATAATACATCAGTTTTCAAATATAAATCATGGTATTCA